CATACTGCTGAGGTTGGATTTACCTTATTATGAAATGTGAAACGTTATATTTGAAAGAGTGCACTTTCTTTTTCACCTTTTTCAGAGCCTTAAGAAAACAGATATATCTTGAAACATCATGAAAACTGAAACTGAAACGTCTCAACGTCCACTTACTATATGTTTATGTTCTTGAAATATTCTAAGCAAAGAAACAAGATAAATGACCACATTTTTTATTTGGTATAATTAAGCTTGCAGAAAGTTGACTTACCCCCTGAGTCACTCTGCTGTTGCTCTCCTTCCTACCCTGTGCTGGTGTGCGTGACTGTGCAGGTCGTGCGTGCGTGTTACTGGCTACTGTATGCGTGTGCGCTTGCAGCGTGTGTTTGTGTTTTTGTGCTGCGTGCGTATGGCGAGACATCCAGGTGATTCGGTAGTTGTGCACAGGGAGGTCTCCTTCCTTAGGGGGCTCCCAGCGTAATAAGACCGCCACTGTGACGCCACTCTCCATCGACCTTAGGAGGCAAAATTGATGCAACGTTACGGCGTAAGTGTAAACAGTCCCATTAAGGAAGAAGCAAAAAGTGCAGCGCTTCCCTAACAGTGAAAATGATTCTCTGCTTGTTTGTCAGCTGCTTTCAGCATCGGGTTTACAATCTCTATCTAATCTCTATTTACTCCCTGTATGTATAGACGAGGCTCAGACACTTTATATCATGCTGAACAGAAGCTACAATTTAAGTCATCACCTCTGTTATTAAATGTTATTGGAATATCGCTGTTGATCCAAGCCATGGTCTGAACTTTAAATGACCTTGTTTTGCAGAATGAAAAATAGAGAAGACACCGAAGGATGTAATTGAACAAGGGCAAACTGTAATTTCAGCTCATATACACAATCACACAACAGAAGACGCGTTTTATAGGGCTGACCACAGTTTATGACTGATTTCCCAGCTGCAGTGGTAAATAGATGTATTTTAAAGATTATATATAAAATGATGCATCTGATAATCCTTCACTGACATAGCTTTTTAGATACCTTTCTGTGAACTGGGACGCTGATTGTGTCCTATTCAGTGTCTGGTTGCTCACTCTGACATTCGTGGGCGGTTCTGGGGGCGAAGGGTCTGCATAGAGACACAGAAAGAAAAACATATAGTTAGGCAATGTTGCAGTTCTTTTTTCTTTCACTTCACTTGACCCCTGACCTCTGCTGAAGTCACTGGGGTCCCAGTGAAGACAAGGCCATCACCCTTCTCCAGTTCTCTCTGTCCTCCACAGCTCTCTGGGA